GGGGGGGACGAGAGTAGGTGAAAATGCATACTCCTACCATTACGATAAGACATTTCTTATATTAATTTGGAAGGTTAATATTCGATGGGAGTAATTTTTTTTAATAACCGTGGTGTCCGAATCAGTTTGTGCGCACCTCGACTAATTTCATGGGATACCTTGATTGCTAGGTCACACCCTTAGATGCTCGATGCGAGTAAGTTTTTTCGGTCAAAGTGTGGGGAGGGGGTTAAAGAGGGTTGGGCGACTGAATGTTATCGGCATTCAACATCAAGTACACACGATTGATAAAACTAACTCTGAATAGTATGTTAATTGTTCCCATAGCTTTTCAGAGACAATGGTCATTATCTTGTTGAAAAAGCCTCAATCAATGAGAAGGAGAAAAAGAAATGGTTCCTTCCTCTCTCTTCCTGTGATTACCTTGTGGATCATATATTACATATTCATAATAGCCTCATTGCTTGTTAAAAGAAAATTATCATAATTTACATCCATTGATTATCTTTTTATTTTTTTAAATGAAATAGGCTTTCTGGATTTAACCTACATTAACTACAATGAACAGAACTTAAACTTTTATGAAAATTATTCAGCTACTAATGCTAGTGCTTCTGCCACAAGTTGTGGAGGTTGGGAGAGTTTTTAAAGGAAAACTGAGAGCTAAATGAAGCAAATGGTCTCTTCCTAATAAAAATTCTTCTGAGGAAGTAAATGGTCACCGTCAGCTCCTTTTTTCTGGCTTTCTTTACGTTAATTTGAGAACCTTTAGTTTTAATTCTTCCCTTGTAGCTTTACGATAAGTGAATTATTAAGATAAGTCTGGCGGAGAGCTGGAGACTAACGATGTCCAACAATGTTGCCTAAAGGAGTGGATAACTTCTATGGGATCCTAAATCAGTAATATTTAAAATATATCAAACAACGTCTGAAGTATACATGTTAAGCATAGGTAAACAAGGTTGTGACTAATGGTGAATGATAACTGTGAGAGATCAGCATTAGACAAAAAGGTACTCCCTCGGTTCCGTTTTAATTTAGATCCACGTAGTTTGACTTGGCACAAAGTTTAAGAAAAACAAAAAGAAAGATTTTTGAAACATATGGTACTAAAAGCTTAAGGAGCAAAAGCTTTGCGATTTTTGTGATTACAAAAACTTCTCAATAAGGGTAAAGTGGTAAAATAAAAAATTTAAAGTTAAATTATTTTCAAATATATAAATGTGTCATTCTTTTTCGATCGTACTAATAAGGAAAGTGTGTCATTTAAATTAAAACAGATGTAGTACTAAGTAATTCTTTCCATATAGCTACTAAGTCTTGGGGTATAGAGTTACGTGTATGCGCCTCGCGGAAAAAAGCATATACCAAGTAAAATAGTTGAGTGTGTACAAGCTTTCCGGGCACCACCAGGGGCGAAGCCACACTGTCCTAAGGGCAGTGGCAAACCCAGAATTTTGTACAAATGGGTTCATTAAATACAATATTAGTAATTGAAACGACATCAGTTATAACAAGTGAGATTTGCTCAATTATACTTTTCTCTTCTTTTTTATTCACTACCACAAAATGAAGTCATCAAATTTAAGTTAACTTTTTTTGCTTTATCAGATGAGCAAGTTTTTTTAAATAAAAGTATTACAAATTCTATTTAAATTTAATCATAGAATAAATTATCTACTCATTTTAACAAATTTAAAGATTTGCTAACAAATTCTATTTAACATATTAAAATGTATATTAAACTTTAAAATGTATAAACATATTTAAATATTTTTCTCATATTGATACAATCAACTTAAACTTTAAAGCTATTGATCGTTCCAAAAATACATACAAACATAATCAATAATTGTCAAATGACAGAGAGCGAGTGTTGTAATCGAACTTCGGACCACGAAGAGCGTTTGAACCCGCTTGACCACTACACCACGAAAATTGTGTTGTGTCGAGTGGGTTCATTAATTATTTAAATATTTGTATTCCTTGTGTTAGATGATAATTACATGTATAAACATTATATTTTTTCGACGAAACGGGTTCATTTGAACCCTCTTTGATACACGTGGGTCCGCCCCTTCCTAAGGGTGGTCAAGTGATCAATTGACCACCCTTCGTCGAAAAATTACATTGTGTATATAGGTAAAATATTAGATTTTAGAGGTATATAATAACATATATTGAACACCCTTTGTCAGGAAAGTTTTTCACTTTCTTTCAAGCTTGAAAACCCTTGGAGAAATTTCTGATTTCGCCATTGAACACCACCATTATAAAAAATTAAGAGAAGTAATAAAAAATAAAAATAAAAAAGTATATAGGTACGAGCTAGTAAAATCAACAAGTGATATCAGAGTGTCGATATGATTCTAGACATAAGAACATAGGATTGTTAAGTGTGTGAGTCTAGAAAAAAATAACCTACAAGCTTACCAATCAAAAACAGATACTTCCTCCGTTTCAATTTATGTGAATCTATTTTCTTTTTAGTCCGTGCCAAAAAGAATGACCACTTTCCTTATTTGAAAATAATTTACTTTTATGCAATAATTTATAGCCACACAAAATATATTTGCCTCATTTTATACCACAAGTTCAAAAGTCTTTTCTCTTTTCTTAAATTTTGTGTCCAGTCAAATGGGTTCACATAAATTGAATCGGAGGAATCGGAGGGAGTATTCTCTTTTAGAAATTCCTCTACCTGCATGCTTCTTTTTGCCCTTTTTTCTTGTGACGTGAGGTGATTCGACTGCTCAGTAATGCGTTGCACCATTAAAGTTTACTGACATTATATTTGTATTAAAATTCTACCTGCAGCAGCCTTTTTTGTATTTTTTAAAGTTTTATTTGGCAGCTTTTCTTTTATATGCTTCCTCTAGTGGAAGATCATTTTGTATGTTTTGCCAGCTCTGAATGATGAATACTTTTTGTTTTTGGCATTTTGACCATCTATTTTTACGGGAACTTCATTTGAATGTTCGTTAAGGCAATATCTTTTTGATAAAGAATTGCATACTCTTACTCCTTTGACCCTATATTATTCTTTATACACACTTAACTTCTCTTTTTCTAAATATACATATTTTTTAATTTTTCAAGAAAACGAATCAAATGTTAATAATGACTAGCTAGAAATGCTTGGAGAGTTAACAAGAATCATTACGGATGGAAGGATGGGAAAACTTGAACTTCTAAGTTAAAAAGTTAAGCCAACGAGGTTTATAGTGGAGTGACGTGAATGGAAGTCCTTCACATAATAAGTGTATGCTCAATTGTCATCGACCTTTTTCCATTTTCTGTAATATAATAGTGGAAAAAACCTTAATAGGCGCATTGGAGCATAGTGTTTAATTATAACATGGTGGTTCATCTTTTTTCCGCACTATTCGTGGNGGGCAATGAAACGTAACTAATCTTACAATTCTATAGATGAAAAATTGTGTTGAATTTAGCTAAGGGAATGTCATTAATAATGATTATGTAAAGAGTAGTGAATTCTTTTGCAAGCATGGGCAATGAAACGTAACTAATCTTACAATTCTATAGATGAAAAATTGTGTTGAATTTAGCTAAGGGAATGTCATTAATAATGATTATGTAAAGAGTAGTGAATTCTTTTGCAAGCATGGGCAATGAAACGTAACTAATCTTACAATTCTATAGATGAAAAATTGTGTTGAATTTAGCTAAGGGAATGTCATTAATAATGATTATGTAAAGAGTAGTGAATTCTTTTGCAAGCATGGGCAATGAAACGTAACTAATCTTACTATTCTATAGATGAAAATTTGTGTTGAATTTAGCTAAGGGAATGTCATTAATAATGATTATGTAAAGAGTAGTGAATTCTATTGCAAGCATCAAGAGGGTCACCCTCTGTCTGTCTTCTTTGGACAAGAGGGCCAACACTTTTTCTTTCATTAAAGTTTGCTTCCTCAAATGTCCAAAGATAGTATAGTAGTAGTATTGATTAAGTTAGGCATCAGAATTGTGAACATCAAAGAACAGGGAAAGGAAAAGAAAAAACACAAAACAAAAATGTAGTATCTAATATTTTATCATACAACTTTGTCTCTATATTTTCTTTCTGCTGCTAAGCTTGATGCTGCAGTCTTCAATAATTCATTTGGAGTCATCTGTTTGGCTTTTTCTTCCAATCACACAATATGAACTCTCTGACATTATATTAACTCTTCCTGTTTCTCAGGATTAAATTTCACCCCTTCTCTCTGCAATTTTTCCTGCAAAAAAACAGATTGGTTCTTCACTTTCTAAATTGGGAAATCCTGAGATCCCTTTGATCCTTCTTCAAGGTGATAGTCTGAATTTTATCACATTTCTTGATTCTTCTATTCAACTTAAATATTCCCTTTGTTTTCCTTTTTTTTTATTTTCTGCAAACTTTCATGCTATCGTCTCAATATGGTTCTTTTCTTGGTATCAAAATTCAAAATTTTGCACTGTACCATTGTGTTAAGAGTGTTAAAAAATGGGAAATATTTTATGATGGAACTGATACATATACAGCATAAACAGGCCAAAGTGGATACCACTACTGGTACTTGATGATGTAGTGTAGATTGTTTGTGTTCGAAAGGAAAAAGGTATTCATAATTATGCTAAATACCTTCTCTGGGAATCATCATTTGGATATAGAAAGAAGGGAAAAGGAACAGAAGCTGATAATTATTTTCAGAAATGAATTAAACTTATTGAAATCTCTTGACTTCAAAGTTAAAAACTGATCTTTCTCTACTATAAATTGTGTACAGATATAAAGTTCTACATCCTCATGATAAAATGAGTAGCTTTTCTCTATAAAGTGTACAAAAAAGAAAATCCATTATAGGCTATAACATAAGCAGAGAAGTGCAGAGTACACGCGTTATTTCCATATTTTGTTAGGGCACTGATATGTTTAAAAACAATTTGCCACTACCGTCTACCTGTACAATTCAAACATTTGTAGCATGTTAGTTCTCTAGTTAGCATATCATATTAATTTGCTGTGAAAAGTTACTTACTGATGACATAAAAGACATTATATGCAATAGAGCTTAAATGATCTTCTGCTACTTAACAACTGCTCCATTTTTTCCCACCAGCACAAGCCTTAAGCTAGTAGTCAGAGATAGAGCCCTTTGACTCCATTTCTAGAGGTTTGATCAGTGAAGTAAGAGGTAATGAGTGAGTTTGGTTCAGAAAGTCCAAGGCCATGGAATATACACACAAGTTCAGAATCACAAGCACAAGGGAAGAATTTAGGGTCATCGGCGAATGCCATTTCATTTGGATTTGTAGCTACAGCTATTCTCATATCCATGTTTCTTATCATGGCTCTCTTTGAGCATCTCTTTAAGCCCACTTCTTCACCTGATCAAGATAGCGTAGAGAATTCCTTGGAATCAGGGCCACTTCAGAAACTTGCAAGTTCCCAAAGAGTAAGTTTCTCACTAGGAATTACTCTGTTTCATAAATGCCAATCCTATGTTATTACAAAAATGTCTTGAATTTTGTCTATTCAAATTTGCCAAGTTGCTTAGAGTAATTAAGCTGGCTTGTAGCATGATTAGAAATTGGAGTAAGTTGGCTGGCAACTTGGAGTTAGTCAGTTTTGAGACTTGGAATGAACTCAGGTCTATCATTCCAAGTTAATCAAGTCGCCAACTTGGTCTATAAATAGTGATCTTTTGTTCATTTTTTATCAATTATCATCATATATAAGTGAGATGTAAAGAGTATTCTTTCTTAAGAATGAGAATCAAGTGAATTGTGAAAACATATAAGTGCATGTAGTGCTAGTATACACACGTGTAAAATTCTAGGTCCTCTAGGATGAACTGAATACCTTGTAACTTGTAAGTAATACTGAACATGAAATACAGCAAGAAATTTCCCACAAGTAAATTAAAAAGATATGCTTCTGAAGTCGTATTATTTGACTGATTACTATATCATCTCTTTCAGGTATCAACAACATCATATGCATCGGATTACACTGTATTGATGCCAGGACAGCAATATCCAACCTTCATTGCCCAGCCTGCTCCACTGCCTTGTCCAAGGGAAGCAGTTTATTGGCCTTCCCATGAACATAGTTTTGCCTTCCCCTAAAGGACTATCATTGTTATTTCATACGAATGATCAAGTAGTCGTCGAATTCTTCATCCGATCAATGATGTAGCACGCTACTCTGATCGGAAAGGGAAGCCACAGAAGGAAAACTGAATTTTGCAATGTAGAGAAGCAAATGAATACAAGGAAAAATCTTTGATGTCAACAAAACTCCCCTAGGCTGAGCTTTAAAATTTAAGTTTGTTGTTTTGGGACTAAGTTATCTTGGAGTGTGGTCTGAACTGATACCATCTAGTGCTTTGCATAGTTATTGTAATTAAGCTTGTGCTATATCATTCTACTCCATGGCATGAAGCTTGTTCTATATAATTGAGATCCGCAGGTCAAATCCCTTTGAAATTAGGTAAAGTTTCATCTTTTGGAAAATTTAGATTTTTTTAGAATGAGCTAGTGTAATATCTTTGATATTTATGTAGTAGACATATCTAGATGTTCTAGAGTCTAATTAGAAGATAAGGTTAACTAGACAACATCTAGAACCATCCCTAGAGAAGTATAAATAGGGATAGCTTTAGGCATTTGTAACCAACCCAAAATCAAGAAAGCCTTTCTTTCCTATACAAGTTCTCTTATCTAAAATCTTTCTTCTCTTTTCAAGTTTTCTCTTCTTTAGTTGAATCTTTCAATCTTGGTTATCGATCTTGGGCCAGCAGAAGATCTCCAATAATACTTTTCTTATTCTATTCTTTACATGATATTAGAACCATATGTTGGCTTCTGGATTTTAAGGTCGGGTTAGTGATTGATTTAACTAGTCTCCCTAAATAGATTTGAGTATTCGTGCTAATGGACTGGGGATTGAATTATTGAACCAGTCCAACTAAAAGGTATGGAAGTGTAACGACTCGGTCGGTCGTTTTGAGTGTTGTAGCCATGTTTTCCCATTTACTGCTCATTTTTATGCTTAATTACCATTATGTGACTTGTCGGGGTAGTTGGTTCGATTCCGGGGATGTTTCAGAATGAATTGAGACACTTAATCTCAAGGTTGGAAGCTTAAGTTGAAAATGTTGATCGGATGTTGACTTATGTGTAAATGGCTCTAGAATGGAGTTTTGATGGTTCTGACAGCTCCGTTTGGTGATTTCAGACTCAGGAGTGTGTCTGGATAGTGATTTGGAGGTCCGTAGTTAATTTAGGCTTGAAATGGCGAAAGTTGGAAAATTAGAAATTTTAAAAATTTAGAAGTTTGACCGAGAGTTGACTTTGTGGATACCAGACTCAGATTTGGTTACAGGAGTTGGAGTAGGTCCGTTGTGTTATTTATGACTTGTGTGCAAAATTTGAGGTTAATCGGACTTGATTTGATAGGTTTCGGCATCGATTATAAAAGTTAAAATTTCCTAGTTTTTATTAGGCTTGAATTGAGGTGCGATTCATGTTTTTGATGTTGTTTGATGTGATTTGAAGTCTCGACTAAGTTTATATTGCGTTTTAGGACTTGTTGGTATATTTTCTTGAGGCCTTGGGGGCCTCGAGTGGAGTTCGGATGGTTAACGGATCGAAGTTTGGAATTGAAGGATTGCTGAAGTGCACCAAGTCTGGTGCGATCGCACCTGTGATGGAATTGGTCGCAGGTGCGTTACCGCAGAAGCGACGCGAGGAGCGCAGAAGAGGCCTGGAAAGGGGTGTGAAGTAGTCGCAAGTGCGAGGGTATTTTCGCACCTGCATGGTCGCAGATGGGGCGTATGGGCGCAGAAGCGGAGCTCAGTGAGAAGGCTGTAGAGTGCAGGTGTGGAGGAAGTTCCGCAGATGCGGACTCGTATCTGCGCGTGTGTGATCGCAGAAGCGAAGGCAGTGACCTTCAAGTATAATCGCAGAAGTGGAGAAAGTGTCCGCACCTGCGAGACCACAGATGCGGTTAAGTGGGTCGCAGGTACGAAAGCACCGCAGTGTTAAATCCGAAGGGTTTCGTGATTTTTCTTATTTTGGACTTTGCAAACTCAGACTAAGGCGATTTTTGAGAGGAAATTCGAGGGGTTTTTTGAGGTAAGTCACTTGTGATCATTTTTATTCAATAATCTTGTTTCCCCATTGAATATCCCACCTAGTTTGTGTGTTTTTTAGGTGGAATTTTGGGAGTTTGAGGCTAGGGATTTGGAGAGTTAATTTGGGGGATTTGAGTGATGAATTAGTATTGGAATTTGGTAAATTTGGTATGGTTGGACTCATGGTTGAATGAGCTTCCAAATTTTGTGACTTTTATCGGATTTCGAGACGTGGGCCCGGGGATCGACTTTTGAGTTGACTTTTTGACTTTTGATTAAGAACTTAGTATTTTCATATAGAATTGATTCATTTAGCTCGTGTTGATTGTATCGAATTTTTTGTGGCTAGATTCGAGGCATTCAGAGTCCGATTCGTGAGGCAAAGGCTTATTGGAATAGAGATTCGCACAGTTTGAGGTAAGTAACACTTTTAGACTTGGTTCTGAGGGTATGAAAACCCGAATTTTGTATTATGTGATTGGTGTTGAGGTGACGCGCATGCAAGGTGACGGGCGTGTGGGCTTGCACCGTAGTAATTATGATTTAGTCAATTCCATTGAACTGTGTAGTTATCTTATCTGAACATTATTACTGTACTCTAAGTGTTAGAGCACTTGAGCTGTGATTTATGCTAGAAAACATGTTTAGGCTATATGTCGGTACTATTGGGACCTACATTGGTCGATCGTTGCTGTTGAATTATTTTCTTAATTGTTGTTATGTAATCAGTCGCATTCCTCATTGCACATCATATCTTAATCTCCGTTACTGTACATTGTCACACTTTGTATCATTGATTTGGGCTGCTTAGCATGAGTGATGTGAGCCCGAGAGACTAGAGAGATTGATGACTGAGTGGGGCCAATGGCCTGTTTGTGAGTGACATTTATGGGATCGGGTTGCATGCCGCAACAGACTTTATTGATTCATGCCATAATTTGGCTTATTATAGCGCTTGGGCTGAATCTGGCCCTCCGGATTGTGCACACCCACAGTGAGCGTAGTTGTTATTGATTCATTTGCATTGGGCTAGATCTACCCTGAATTTATTTGTATTGGGCTGGATCTGACCTGGATTTATTTGCATTGGGCTGGATCGGCCCTGGATTTATTGCATTTGGGCTGGATCAGTCCTGTACAGTGCTGAGTGAATGAGTGTGATAAGTGAGAATCGAGACAGTCAGGTTGAGTACTCAAAGAGTGTGAGTACGCGAGGCTTTCATTGTGTTGCATCATATACGATATGCATATTGGCATGTAGATATAGATATGTCATATTCCTCATATTATTTAGACTTGACATATTTTATCCATTCTTAGTTTAATTGCTAAACCTGGAAGCATGTCTAAATTCTTATACTGTTACCTGTAGATTATGAATTTCTGAGATACTACTATCATATTTCCTATAAAATTTCGTATTGTTAATTCTGTATGTGGGTTGTAATGTTCGAATTCGTCACTACTTTCAGTCCAAAGGTTAAATCTGTTACTTATTGAGTTGGTTGTACTCACGTTACACCCTGCACTTCGTGTGCAGATCCAGGTGTTTCCGAGAATGGCGGTTGTTGATTCCCAGAGTTTTTAGTCATCCAGAGATTATCGAGGTAGCTACCCTGGCGTCCGCAGACCTAGACTCTCCTCCCCTATCCCTCGGTTTACTTGTTTAGTTTCTGCTTTCTTAGACAGTGTATTAGACTTTGTATTTGTATAGATGTTATCTCTTTCATTGTTGATTATCATTATTTGAAGTCATTCGTTGTATGTTATCTCTTACATTATTGACAATCCTTATTTGAGGTTTGTTGAATTATTGGTGTTGAAGTTGTGAAAGTCGTTACCACGTTGATGCAGAGTTGTTAATTGTTGAGAATTTACATTCATTGTTGTTGTTGATATTCTTGTATACATTGTGGTGGGGCCATGAGTTATTGTTGTCGAAAAATATTGATATTGTTGATTATTAGCAAGTTGTGACATATGAGCACTTGTGGTGTGAGTTATTATTGTGATGTGATATTGACACGCATGCGGCGGCATAAAGTGTGACTTATGTGCGTGTTGCTTGTAAAGGAATTATGTAAAGCCATGTGGTGTCATAAAGTGAGCTAAAGTGCGTGTAGCTATTTCGGGAAAACTGTTTTCAAAACTATTTAAATGTAAGGCTCACGTGGTGATATAAGAAAAGATTGTGATTGAGATTGTGAATTATGAATACGAGGCGGTACCTCGGTATGGGTGATTATGGACATGTTGACCAAGTCGGTTCATTTTATTACGGTAGTGGCTACCTATTCTTCAAAACAGCTGGCTCATATCTATGTCCGCGAGATTGTCCGACTTCATGGTGTGTCGGTATGGCGGTATCTATCATCTCTGACCGGGGCACGCAGTTCACATCGCGTTTTTGGAGAGCTGTGCAGCGTGAGCTAGGCACATGGGTTGAGTTGAGTACATCATTTCATCCCAAACGGATGGACAATCCAAGTGCATCATTCAGATATTGGAGGATATGCTTCGTGCATGCATTATGGATTTATATTTAAATACGAATAGGGAAGGATTATAGGTTTTATATTTACGTCAATGCTGTAGATTATCCTGTGAGCCTTCTTCCTCTCTCACTCAACGGATAAGTATTAATTATGATTTAGTGATAACTATAGTTGTCAAAAGATATAATTATATATTCATAATGCAAATATTCGGTGCAAATAAGCTTTATGTCGTATTCATTAAGACGAGATACATGCGCATCACGTGTCGCCCGAAACTAGTTTTATATTAAAATTAGGAAGGTCCTTTTGCGAAATATCGTTCATCTTTTTACACTTTTACGCTAGAGTTCACATTGGACAAAATAGTAATTTGATTATTTTCTTTAATATTTAAGAGTTTAAAATTAACTCAAATCTTTCCTTATTTGAATTAAGTAAGAAATCTTTATATTAAGGACTTTAAAATCATTAAAATTTTACCTTATATAAATCTTACAACTAAATTATGATTAAATAATAGTAAATGTTTATGCCATATGAGTTGTCTTTAATTGGACTTTTTAGTCTTCAGAACTATAAAGTGGCCAATGAGCGAGCGAGAAGCATTCTTTTCAACGAGAAGCTCTAACGTCTCTCTCTGATACCATTCACCGGACTTCCGGCGACCACCGGACCAGGTAAGACCCCCACTCCACTCCACCACCAC